CACACATGCCCTACTCCTCAGGCACCAAAGATTACGCTTTAAAAGATCTCCTTCATACAAATCTGGGCTGATTTTTCATTCATCTGGCTATTTCTTGCTTTGATGACTGTGTTTCAACACTAAGCAAAGAAATGATACAACAATGAATAGAAAATTAAGCGCTATCAAGATTCAAACACTGGGTGGTTGGCAAAGCCAACTGATTAAGTTAGCTCAGTACACCAGTGTCACAGTTTACATAATTTAAGTTCATGCCTCAAACTGCAAACTACTACACTGTTTTGGATGTTAAATCTGCAAATGCCAAGGAACAAGTGCAGTAAGTTTTCCCTCACAATTCTAATGCTATCTTAATACTAGCAGTGTCAAGATGTATGAAGTTATCTACAAATCAAGTGCATCACCACTCACAAATCATTTTTACTCACCTTCCATGTTGCAGACTTTATGTTCATAGTTCTCCCCCGGCTAGTTAGGGTACACTTCATTCTGAGAAAAAAGCTTCGCTGTGTATTTTGCTCTTTACCCTTTTTCACAAGGCCTAAGGAAAGCATGAAATAAAGTTTAAAGACATAATTGAACATACAAATTTGTTACAGTAAGAGTAGCACAGTACCTAGCACCTAAGTGCTGTTCAAGTAAGTCTCAGCATGAACACAGTGATTCACACCCACTTTGCCCACTCCAGCACATCCAAGGCATCTAACACACTCCAGGCGTTACCAGGGGTTCACAACAGCAGTGATTCCCTGAGTTGGTGGGAGAAGAATCCATATTTGGGATAAGAGTTAATGATATCACATTCAAGCCAGTAAAGCTGATCAAATTATGAAGAAATATAAATATGGTATGAATTTACCCCATAACTGTGCTATCAGTGTACAAACACACCCAAAAAAGGAACTTCAGCGAACTCTTCCAAACCTTTACTAAATGTGTTAGCTCAATTTACAGTAAGCACTCATGTATTTATAGGACTTTTAAAATACCGAATTTCTTTTCAATAACAACATTTTTAAATATCTGATTTTTCCTTAAATCTTCCTTTATTATAAAGTAGGCAGGAAATTATTTCTACTTTGTTACTAGGAAAAAAAATGTATTGAATGACTTTTCAAAGCAAAGTTAAATAAATTCAAGTCTATTTATGTATTCCAAACTTCACATAAAAAATGAGATTACACTCAGGTGACTAAATAGCAACTTGACTTCTTATCTTTATTGATCAGTCTGATTCAAAACAAATATAAAAATATTCATTATTCAGGACTTGGACTAGATGTTGCAGGCAATATAAAGATGAATAAGACACACTGCCTGTCCTGAAAAAGTTAAAAATGTAGTAGATGTAATGAGGCCACTGACAACAATACAAGGCAGAGTTAAGTGCCCAAGACTTATAAGAATGCTTTAAAGAAGTATAGGGTGAGATCAGAAGATAACTTCTAGTCAAGAGGAAATCAAGCAGTCCTTCTTAGACAAAAAGACCTTAGAATTTCAGTAAGTAGGGATGGGTTAGAAGGGTATTCCAGGCAGAATAAAGAGAATGAAAAGCACAGAGGTGCGAAAAATAGCACATGTGAGGAAGAGGAGATAGTTCAGTTTGGCTGCAACATAAAGTACATGCAGAAGAGAATGGAGACCAAGTCAGAGGGAAGGTGAGGGCTATAACTATGGAGGCCTTGGAGGCTACTATGAGGAGTTCAGCCTTAAACACAACACAGAGCTTCTAGAGTCCTGAGGTGGGAAGCACAATCAATAATTTAAGGAACATTAATCTAGAAGCAATATATAGGATATGTTAGAATAAAGTGATGGGAATGAGGGGCTGAACATAGCAAAGTGAAAAGAAGGGTGGCAAAAGACAAATGAAGAGGTAGAATCTATAAAAGCTTGAAAATTGATGGAAATAAGGGAGGAGAGAAATTTTAAAAAGATCTAGAGATTTTAAGCCTAGTATATTGAAAGAAAAGTGTCAAGTGGAAAAGACATGATAAGTTTAAATTTAGGCCTAGTTAGCTAGAAATGCTGGACTCTTGAGGAAGAAGAGTTCTAGTTTATACTCATAATAATGGAACTAGGGAAGTTGGGGCAGTCTTGGTGCTGATACAAGTTATTTGAGTTTACTCAAATAAGGACTGAATGTGCCCTCCTAGAAGCACTTGAGAGTAGATTTTAAAAAGATGCCACAGAACCACACTGGTCTTGGTGATGGTACAGGGTGTGTGTGTGCGGGCGGGGGCCGTTGTGGTGGTGGCAGCAGAGACCCACATGTAAACTCTTTGGGGTATTTTCAGTCCTTCATAATCTAAACTTGAATTGGACTGACCTTTGAAAACCCAAAGCCTTTGAATTGGGACATGAAGATAAATTTTAAAACCAAGGTAATTGAAAAGTATTAGCATTTTCCTAATGGAAAAAAACGTTTTAAAAGAACTAAATTTTTAGTCCTCTAAAACCAAATCATATTTTATAATAATTTAATGAACTCCAAATCATTGTTTTAGAATTTCAATGTAAGAGTAATAGGACTGTGTGGTGTGAACACACCACCAGTTCTTAGTGTATCACTAAAATGTGATGTGTTGCAGCAGCCCCTCTTTTCTAAAAATGAAAATCTGCATTTTTGTTTCCCAACAAAACATTAAAAATTCATTAACTGCATTAGGAATGATTTCAAAAAATATTCCTGTGCTTTAAAGAAACATTTGGTTAAAAACATAAAACTATATTAAGTAGACTATATCTGATTTAGCATAATGCATTAACATCCTTACCAAATCAATACAAGACTTCCTAATCTCCATCCATTTATAGCCTAGCCCAAGGAAAGCATGGAGCAGCAAATACAAACATCAAAGTCTAAATACTAGAACTCATATATTAAATTCATTGACAGCCCACTTAGGCCCTTGCTCAGAATGTATTTACTTCTCCTTTATACAGAATTCTAAAAAGTATGCATTTGCTTTCCAAGTTCACAGTAAACACACAGTATGAAATTTAAAAACAGGAGAGGGCTCCTCCTGGCAAGGTGAAAAATGGCAGTAGAACGTAGTCAGAGCTGCTGAACACAGAAAGAGCTCTCAAGAACTAAGAGTGTGGACTCTGGAGCCAGTCTACTTGAGCTTAACCTACACTCTGCCATTTACGAACCAAGTAATCCTGGGCAGGTTACTCAATAACTCTGTGCCGTGGTTTCCTCAGTAAAATAGAAATAACAACAGTAACTTCACAGGGTTGTCGTGAGGAACCAAGGAGTTTAAGCACATAAAATGCAGAGACCAGTGTCCCGGCACAGAGTGATCTCTCAATACAGGTTAACTATTATTATAAATGAGATGAGATAAAAAAAGGAAACCATAAAAAAACTATTCAAAAAGTTCTATAAGCATGAGGTTGTTTAATATAGAAGCAAACAAACTCAGACTTAAATTGGAGAGCTGCAAAGAACAACTGCAGCACATAATGACAAATTTTCATTGTGGTAACTTTTCATCATGAAAAAAGGTTAAATTATGATCAGTATATTCTGTTTAACAAGGCTCAGGTATGAAAAGATTTTCTTTAACTGTTAAGTTTTTGTAATTCAAGAGGTACTTTCCCAAAATCTTGGAACATTTGATTATTTTAAAAAATTCATTCCTAAGAGTTAGAGGTCTTAGCAGGTCTCTTTTGCTGTTGCTAATGTGGGGGCAATCTGTAGTCTAATACTTTGTAATCTAACAACACAGTCTCAAATTATGTTGAACATCCTGAGAGGTCAAATAAGTGGTGATTATGTTCTTTAAAATCTGGTGAACTTTCTCTTTTCTTTTTCTTGGGCCTTTAGAAAGCTTGAACCCAAAATGGCACCTCAACTTTAATAACTGTCTAAAAGCCTATTATATGCCATATGAATTATGACTTCCCCTTGCCTTTTAGTTGTATTTTAATTTATAACTTCCTTGGTTCTGATTTTTATTTTTCCATTTTATTTTATCTATTCTTATATCTATATAATTATGTTTGGAATTAGGTGTGCTTTTAAAAAATTGTTTAGGTATTTTAAGGAAATTCCTAAAAATAGGATAACATGGATTTAACAGAGAATAGAGTAACATTTTACTAAATACAAAATGATGTTTTGTCTTAGGTTAGTACAACAGTAAAATTTTTAAATGAGTAACAGAATCCGATTAGGTAAAACCACCTGTCACATTAAATCAAACAATAGACTTTTCTTCTCACCATTTCTGTGTGTAAGCATTTCTCTCATTTCCTCATGGTCACACGGATGAGTAAAATCAAACACACTGTGTCCAGTTAGTTCAAACTGTAAACACATTTTGAAAAATTAGATCTATATCATAAAACCATAAAAAGATACAGAACGGCTCTTAATATATGTGGGTATTTTACCTGAGTCAATCCCATGTATTTGTTCACATTATCAGAAATGTAAATCATGTCACCATCATCTGTGAGAACCATAACAAAACCATCCAGAGCTTTCAAGTAAAAGCAGTTCATCTGTGCCTTCATTTCATCTTCAATGTCCAAATCACCTAAAAAGGGCAGAAGAGGAGAATAATTAGTTAAAAAGTTATACTTAATAATATTTAAATGTTTTTATAAAGTTTTCCCCAGATACTTTATCTGATATACACAGCATATATTTTTTGTGTATATTTAATTTTTGTTTCCCGTCACTCTGCTTTTAACATAGAACTCAAGGCCAGAGGACAGGAAGACTAAAATCAGATTTTCCAGATGCTTTTAATGATTATTTAAAGTAATGTAGCAAGGCAAACCATTGAAAAGAGAAAGAAGGGTCATGTTATTAAAAGGAAGAAGTAGGTAGGCAGGTAGGTAGGGCAGGAGAAAATGAGGTAGAAAAAGCCAATATCTTAAAAATTCCTGACTGAAGCTTTAAAAACAGGTAGTAAAAACGATATCATATTAAGGAAGAATTGAGATCTAAATATGATTTCTAATTACTTCTAATTTCTAATTTTTAGGGCTTTTATGCCCTTGTACAACAACTCACCAGCATCCAGAAGTTTCCTCACACGCAAATAGCTGATGGTAAGCCTCATAACAGAAGCCTTATCAAGATGAGAGCTCACATTATGAGGAAGTGGCAACTGATGAGCAAGCTCATAAAAAACTTCAGACTCTTTACTCCGCCGAGATCTGGCTGCATCTCTAGACTTTTCTTTTCGTCGTTCAGAACTTATTCTATTTAACAAAAAAGAAAGAGAAAAGAGACAAAAAATTTACATTAGTCTGCCTCTGCTTGAATAAAACTAATTTTACATTTTTCTGCTTACCATAGAAGGATTAGAAGATGCCATGTAATTAAATTATATAGAGATTTGTCTACTACATGAATGTATTTTTATAAAAGACAGCTATGCAAATTTTTGGATTACTGCAGACATAAGGAACTCGCACAAGAAGTCCAAGATGAAGCTGTAAGCCTGTTTCCTCCCTGCATGTCAAATTGGAGAGGATGTTTTTTTTGTTTTAGCAAACATCTGAAAAGTAGCCTGTACATCTAAGGCTGCATCTTCATAGCCATTCAAAAGTAGTCTCGACATACAGAAATCATGCTGAAGTGGAGGGAAACTAAAGTTGTACACAGTAACCTGAAAACAGGCATTGTTAAACAGGTAGAACAGTAATAGTTACAAACTAATTTTTGACTCCAGTTTCTTTTGACTCCAATACTTTCCACCCTCCACCTTGCACATGAGCAATACTGACTATAAGCTATAGGAGTTTATATTGGCAGCTATAATAAGCTATTCTTTCAAGGTGCTTATTCCCTTAGCAGCCCCTTATCTATTTACTGGCACAACAGGTACCAAATAAATGCAGGGGTATGGAAGAAAAAAAAGATGTGGCATAGTACTAAGAATTTAAAGGAATAGGTTAACGAAGATTAACAAAGGTGTCAATACAATGGCATATCTTTAGGGAACTCTTGCAAGAATAAAGTCAGCCAGAAAGATAGTCAGCCAGAAAGATTTTCATAAGTCATACCAAGCAGAAGTGTCTTCCTTTGCTTAACTGCATAGCAACATCTATTCCTCCTGACCCAGCTGAAGGTAAACAAGGTTAAATCTGGTTCTGTCCTTAGCTTTTTCTTTAATAGCCATTTATTAAAACCTACTGTGTGCCAAACACTACTCTACTAGGTACCTAGTTCTCTCATAACAACCTATAAGGTTTGAACCCAGGTGTTCTTTTACTCTGTTGTCTTTGGTCTTTTACAGTGTTTCATCTTAATGGAGAAGGCTGCTTGCTTCTACCTCAAATACTCAGCTGCTCTACTATGACCCTCAACCTAATCCTAAGTCAATTATTTATTAAATATTGAAAATAGCCATTACCATTTATTGAGCACTCAGCAGTATGCTAAGGACTCTGCCAGCATTATTTCACTTAATCCTCCTTACATCCTATGAAGTACCTAAGTGTCTCCACTTCAAATCTCTTCTCCCTCCAAATATCTGCAAAGCTGCAAGGTTCAATCATAGATGCAATATTCTCAAAAATCTCAGGGTTCTCAGCGTATGCTCCTGTGATGTTGCATAATAACAAGTGAATACCTAACAGCTGTATTGTGACAATAGTGATAACATAGTTTTAGCCCTTACTCAAGTTTGTGTGCTTAGCTGACTTTTATACTTTAGTAAGGGTAGAACATTCGCTGTTGTTGGTAACTGAACTTTGATACGAGAATTTCAATTCAAGCATCTAGATCAATTTAACTTGAGTATTTTTGAGATTTAAGGTAAGCTATTAAAAACTACTACTACGTGTAACTACTTATCTATGTGAATCAAGATTTTCTCAATGCCGTACAATTTTAAAAAGCCACAAAAATAAAATTAGATGCTGAGGCTACCGTGAAAATGCGACAATGTCAACAGTCTACAACTTCATTTTTTACCTGCATTTGAAAGTCCTCATTGTTCTCACTGACTTTAAGTAATTGTTTTAAATTTAAATTTAAAATAAAATGTACAGGGGCCGGCTGGTGGCGCAAGCTGTTAAGAGCGCGCGCTCCACTGCGGCGGCCCGGGGTTCGCCGGTTCGGATCCCAGGCGCTTGTCAGGCGATGCTGTGGCAGTGTCCCATACAAAGTGGAGGAAGATGAGCATGGATGTTAGCCCAGGGCCAGTCTTCCTCAGCAAAAAGAGGAGGACTGGCAGATGTGAGCTCAGGGCTGATCTTCCTCACACACACACACACACACACACACACACAAAAGTACAATAATAAAAGTTTTAAAAATCTATTTTACACCTATACCAGAGTTCTTGTGGGTTGGGGGAGAGACCCAGTGTGTCCCCATTGGCCCTAGCATCTCGGATACTGTTTCCCTCACTTCCTTCCCCTCTTGAATTGGCAGGTGAGAAGCAGCGATGGCAGTGGGAAACAGATTCCTATCTAGTTCAAGCAAAACCGCAAAAATCGCCAAAAAAGAGTAATGATCAATGATCTCATGATAAACCTGAATGTTAGTTCAAATACCACAGTTAATCCAGGTGATCAGAATTTTATCAGCAACTTTCATCAGACTTACTATCCCTCTTTCTCTTAATTACTCAACCAAATCTAAGCTACCAACAAATGACTACCGAAATGAACACACTTGGTGAAAAGTTTAAATCCTTATATTACCTGCTATATATTTTTAAAGGATATCTGATCAAGGTAACCATGGTGATGGATTATCTCCATATCTTTAGAAATACCTGCACTGTCCAGAACTTTGAAGATAAGGATTGTCCAAGATGTGGCAACTAAGTTTAATAAGACAAATCCATTAGAAATGTGAGCTTGGATAAAACATTTGAAAGACAAAATACTCAAGCTAGTGAAGACTGTGAAAATAAGAATTTGAGCATAAGCCAGAATTCTGGAAGAAAAATAACCCTTAATAAAACAAGTAATATGATACTTCAAGAGCTGACAAACCTAAATTAGATGAAAAAGGTGATGAAAATCAGTATGTCCTCTAGTACATAATCAATCTAGACATAAAGCAATAAGGAGACCAGCAAGAGTTAATGAAGACATTTATCTGATGTTCTTCACATGTGACTACAGGCATTCTTAAAACATTTCTAAGCTTAAAACTAAAGCTTCCAAAGTTCTTATGAGTTTCAGCATGTGAACTGCCAGCTTCCTGTCTATTCACAGCAAGGCTCTTTCTATCAGGTCATACCCCCACAGAATTTACAGTATTGACCAAGAATTATTTCCATCAGACCACGTGGTCTAGGTCCCACAGAGATGAATCCTGTACCATTTGTTTCCTTACTACTAAGGTTACACAATAAAAGGTTTATAGACCAGAAGGAAACAGGCAGATTTTCAGCATGCAAATAAGGTCACTGTATTATTCTAAATTATCAATTCCATTTATGTTGTTTGTATTAACTGCAGATCAAGTTCTGCTACTGATATGTCTGCATAAGGTGCTATTTCACAGTCTGCTAGTCATACCGGAAATCAATTAAGAGTACAGTAAAAATTCTGTCTTTTGGATTATTTGCTTACTCATTCCCATGAGTGTTCTAGAACTAATGTTTGAATAAACTAACAAAGTAGCTCAATCTTTGTGGTACTATAGTTTTCACATACTTACTATTTTATTATTATTTAACAAACAGTACTGGACAAGAAGCTAACAATTATATCTTGAAATTATTTTGTGTAGGAAATATATTTAGGAAAATAATTTAGAGCCGCTGTCTTATTAAGCTTCTTGTGTACAAAGTTCATGAATAAGCAGTAGCCATTTTACAGAGAATGCCTATTATTCTTTAGATTAACAAGAACACAAAATAATTGCAGATATTTTAAGTCATCTATCTATGTTGTCTACTAATTACACAAGAAAAGTCTATTAGAGTTCCTGATTGTAAACATATGTGACTTTAAGAACTGAAACTAGATCATAATCATTCAAAATGTTAACCGGTGATCAGACTTATTTCTAATTAAGTTAATGTATAAATTTTAAAAAAGTCTCTCAACTCTATTATTTGGTGATTTAAAACTCTTTCTGGCCTTGATGGTACAAGTTGTTGTTTCGCACTTCCTGTGTCTGTATTTCTACAGGATAGACATTCTGAAGTGAAATTCCATGATCTACAGGATGTGGCATTTAAATTTTCCTTTCCAAAAAGGTCTGTACCCATTTTCGTCTCTGCCAATCCATGAATGTGTGTATCCATTTCCCCATGCACTCTGCAGTAATATATATTATTGATCTTTTTTATCTTTCTAATTTTTGCCAAGCTGATAGGTGAAAACTGTATCTCACTGTTTTAACTGCCTGCACTTCTTAAAGTCTCAGGCCAGAGGAAATTCCAAGGAAATTTTCATGTTCTTTAGTTGGCATTTTGGCCTGCAGCTTTAAATCCAAACATCTATACACAGTGCTTACTATGTACCCAGTGGTATTCTAAACATTTTTCATCTATTAACTTATTTAATCTCTATTATTATCACCATGTTACAGATAAGGAACCTGGTTAAACAGCTTACCCAAGATTACACAGTTAATAAATGGTAGAGCCTATATTCAAACTGAAGCAGTCTGGCTCTAGAACCATGCTTTTAACACTAGACTATGCTGCCTCTCAGAAACTAATTACCAAGATAAGTATTCATAAGTCCAGGCCATTATTATAAAGTTCAAAATTTGTCTACTCCACATCTCCAAAGACATAGAGAGGTACAGGAGCTGGCTTTGGAATTTAGGACTTGATCTTAAGCTATTCAGAGGAACTCATGGCTAGGCTCTTTCCTGGAGTCAGCTTGTAAATCCAAAATCCTAATTGAAAGGCACCTACAATGACGATGCCCTCTGCTCCACTGTCCACCAGCTCTTCAAATCAAGGTAACCTTTAATGGGTACTGCCAACCACAAACAGGAAAGAATCAGAGGACAGAAATTCAATCTACCTCATAAACTCCCACTAGGCTTTATTTTTAATTTGTACAGAGAAGCTCTTTGAACATCTTAGCTCACTATTGTTGGTGTTTTATTTGCTCAACATCTGTATCCCCAAATAAAACCAATCTGCATACTCACTTCAGGAGACCTGGCTAGGCATAAGCCAAGTGCCAAGATATCTAATCACACAAAGTA